TTTGAAGACAACTGAAGAAATAAGCTATCCCACCACATTTTTATTGTAACAGATACTTAAAAAGCTCAAATAGGGCAAACTCATCAATTTTTGTGCCATTCAATGAAAAAAATGTGCTGAAATGAGAATATTGCTTAGAAAACTGTAAACTTTCCAGAATCCTTAATATACCTTCAGAACATATGACAGTGATAACTAAACTCACTGCTATATCATGAGGAATGTTCATTTGTAAATTAGAAGTTTTTGAAAATTATACCTGGGGTCCAGCAAAACCAACAGCCCCAGTTGGGCCATTTTCACCACGAGAACCCTAGAAGAAGACAGATTACTATAGATTTCATACATTGTTCTAAACAGAAATCATATTTTAAAATACAGTTATATAAATTTGATGGAGTTATAAATGTATATATAAAGAAATTAGACATATTGCTCGAAGACCCTTAAGGGAGAAATAAAGATATAGGTCATAGAACAAAATTTCCAAGCTCAAAAGTCTCAAAGAAGCTTCTTAATTATTTAGTAAATAAGCTCCTTACCTAGACTTAATAGATTGTATAACTGATAATTTTTTAAGTTTAATTAGAAAAGTAAAAATTTAAAAGCTAGGAAGTTATAAATAGCCTAAACCAAAAGGCATGTGTTACATAAATTATCAAACCAAAATAATGAATTGTTTTATTGCTCGATCTCACACTAAAGAACATCAAAATACCGTCACTTACAGGATTGCCACGAGAGCCAGGGGGGCCAACTAAACCTCGAGGACCAGGTTCACCCTAAAAAGCAGATTTCAGATGGTTATTGTCCAAAGCAGCAGCAACACATAATGCAATTGTAGGACATTTGGCACACATAGTGTGGGAGCAGAAAGTGGGGGAACTCTGAGATGATCTAGTTGGCTGTTATAAAAGACAAAACTTTACGAAAGAGCCAGCATTCAGGCCTCATGATTTTGTAACAACTTGTGACTTACCTTTTCTCCAGTGGGACCTGCAGGACCAGGAGGGCCCAAGGGACCTGGAAGACCCTGTCAATTAACAGAACATAGACATATTGAGGAAAAGAATATACAGAAATCCCCATGCTTAAGCAAAAAACAAAAAAGAAGGGACTGTTTTGTGTAGTTTGGCTGCTTTTGCAAATCATTATCTATAATAAATGATATAATGTGTATATTTTCAAGATTTTTCTGTCTAGTAAAAAGCCATTTCCACTGGGTTTTGTCTATAGAATGTTTTAATTTCTTTCATCCAACTCAACTCGTGCATACTTAAAACTGCCTCAGACATTAGTTCTAAATTAATGTTATTCTTCAACAATGTTTCTGTGTTTCCTAGCCTAGTTAATTTTACTAATATCTATTTTGAAATTTGAGTAGATTGAAAAGAGGCTTTTCTTAAGTTATAACATAATAGCAAAGTATCATTCTTTTTATTTAAAAAAGTGAAATTGTGCTAAAACATTCAGTTTTCTGCATTCTTTTGAGGTGAAAAGAAGTGTCGCCACCTGGCTCTATTGAGGTTGATGTGTTCTTTAACAGAGCGTAAGACAGCTACCACATGGGGACACAACCCAGCTCTTCTGGACACATAGTCACAACCTCCAAACTGAGGGAGTCCTTTCAAAAACAAGCTCTCTCTGATATTTGTGTTATTGCCTTCTCATATCAGCTTAAAGATTCTTTTGTCATCTAACTTCTGTATGTATTACTGAAGAAACTTAAGGAACAAATATGACTTTTGAATTTCACATTTTTGACAAGAACATGAGAAAACTGTGTTCTTATACTCTCTCAATCTTCTTCCAATATTTGCCTTCTTCCAATATCCCAAAATATTCTTCCAATAATTTACCTAATGGAGTTCCTTAAAGGGCCGATTAAATATAAAGATCATTTCATTACTTATATTCACGGACATTTTTTCATACAGATAAAAGATGTTATTCAATTTTTTCCTTTACTATGAGATTGCAGTAAATGATCTGCTCTGCTCCTTTTCTGAAACAATGTATTGCCCTCACTAAAAATAAAGTAGTCATTGCTTATGTCCTGATCTGATTATGCTGCATTTTCAAAGTTAATTCATAGGCACAATAGATACACACTTTGGATTTCCCCTTAAAACAAACTGTCAATGCATTACTTCTTCAAACAGTACTGCACTACTCATGACGTAAAATAGAAACAATATACCAGATTTACTCCATAGGCACAATAGATACACACTTTGGATTTCCCCTTAAAACAAACTGTCAATGCATTACTTATTCAAACAGTACTGCACTACTCATGACGTAAAATAGAAACAATATACCAGATTTACTTAGACTGTTTATGAAATATACACTCAAATACTGTATTTAACTAAAAGGCAAGAGATCTCTTGAATTCATAATTTGCTAAAGTATTTCACCCTTAATTAGTTTTTTATTAAAAAAAATAATAATAATTATCACTAAGGTAAAACTTTTCTATATTTCACTTCATTTTCTTTCTTTCTTTCTTT